AAATATTCAGTGTTGACCGATTATTGCATCTGTGTCAGCTTTAGAGACACAGTCTAACTCATTTGTAAGATATGTTGCTTGCTTTACCCTGTAAATAGCTCGCTCGTTGCTTTTTCCTAGTTAATATACCTTAAGTTGGCTTATGCCAAGTTTGGCTACAGCACTGTCTTGCTGTGAGATCTAAGGTACAAATTCACCCAGACAAACGGCTGGTCTCTTGGGACTGAAAGGGACCTGAATATGTTGTGATATTTGGTACAAACGACCCTTTATCACTAAGTCCAGCTAGCCTGGGTGCGAGACAGACTGCTGGAAGGAATTGTCTGGGCCTCCATGGTAAGACGACGACAGTGCTTCAGGAGTTCACAACCGGTACTGCCTTGCTGAAATCCAACACCGCCATTCTGGGAAGTCTACCCTTGTTTTTTGACAGTCTGGACTAAGGCTGAGAGTCAACATGACACTCTTACTGGCTATTTCTAAAGAAGGCCCAAGGAAGTCTAAAGCAGGCTGCTCAGAGATAACCAATCACTAGAGAAATGTTGTCCTCACCTCCAGTAGCTGGAGTGGTTGACCTTCAGGCTACTTCTAGACTGCAGGCTTCTTCTTGCGCAAGAAGCTTTTATTAGAAGAGATCTTCCGCAAAAATTTCTTGCAAAAGAGAGCATCCAGGCTGCATGGACGCGCTCTCTAAAGTAAGCTCTGATTGCTGTGCACAGAATGGCCACAAGGTCACCTGTGCTTTTTCCTCTTTCCTCTTTTTGCACAAAAAAACCCCTTCCCCGTCCACACACACCTTTTTGCAAAAGAGCTCTTTCGCAAAAATGCGTTCTTCCTCATAGAATGAGGAATACCTACGTTGGAAAAACCCCTCTGTTCTTTCAATTTTTTTGCGCAAAAACGCGCTTGAGGTGTGGACGCTCGTGAGTTTCTTCAGGAAAACTCTGTAGTGTAGACATAGCTTCATTCACTAGAGTTTATGTCTGAATACCGGCTCGAATGCTGGCCCTGACACAGCACCTGACACAGTGTGGTCCAGGTTCCTGTGCAAGGTCTCTAGCTGCTAATATGAGAGTCCTAGCTAGGCTTGCCAATGCTGACTGAAGAAGCTATTCCAGGAGATTCCCCCCTCCCATGACGCAACATCCGTTTCTTAAAATACCCTGTTAAAATCTCCAGAATTGATTCAATTGTCACCAGGAGATTGATGTTGATTCCAGGAGACTCTAGTCCCTGAGGGCTGAAAACCCTAGTCCTAGCAATGAATATTATTAATGACTCATTATTGCTATTATATGATTAAATATTAATTATTATTATTATTCAGACTTTCGTAACTGTGAAAGGCCTGACTCTGCTTAGTTACAGCAGCACAGCACACGGGGAGTGCCAATGCAGGATCCCTGGGGTGCAGGGAGGGGAGTCAGAGCCTTAACTCAGGGCTGGATAAAATAGAGGAGATGAGGCCTGGGTTTCGGAGGGAGAAAGTTGCTGACATGGGGCTCTGAGGGAGCAGGGTCCTGGCTCCACTAGAGGTATCCAAGCTAGCTCTGATTGAGCCAACATACTGAAATAGAGGGTAGCCTTGGCACAGCAAGTGGTGGGAAGTGGCCATGCCTTGGGTCTCGGAGAGGTATCCACTTGGGGCTCCTAACCTTCCACCACTTACACTATTGTTAGTGCACTCTCCTGACAGAATCATAGAATCATACAATCCTAGGACTGGAAGGGACCTCGAGGGGTCATCGAGTCCAGTCTCCTGCCCTCATGGCAGGACCAAATACTGGACCCTCCCTGATAGACATTTATCTACCCTACTCTTAAATATCTCCAGAGATGGAGATTCCACAACCTCCCTGGGCACTTTGTTCCAGTGTTTGAATATCCTGACAGTTAAGAACTATTTTTCTAATGTCCAACCTAAACCTCCCTTGCTGCGGTTTAAGCCCATCGCTTCTTGTTCTATCCTCAGAGGCCAAGATGAACAAGTTTTCTCCATCCACCTTATGACATCCTTTTAATTACAGGCAGTCCCTGTATTAGGTGAAGCTAGCACCCTCCCCCCCAGCAGACCAGGGAGACGTGGAGCGGCTTTTCTCAGCAGACACCTCAGCTTGAGAATAAAGGACTTAGGGTATGTCTACACTACCCCGCTAGTTCGAACTAGCGGGGTAGTGTAGACATACCCTAAGTCCTTTATTCTCAAGCTGAGGTGTCTGCTGAGAAAAGCCGCTCCACGTCTCCCTGGTCTGCTGGGGGGGAGGGTGCTAGCTTCACCTAATACAGGGACTGCCTGCCCCCCAGCTCCTCGTGGAATGAGGTGTACAGCTAGTTCAGATTAGGAAGCCTAATCAGAACTAGCTACTCCGTGCCGCGTGTAGCCGCGCGGCACGGGGGTCGACTGAAAAGGAAATGAATTTCAACTCCTTCCTGCTTCAGAAGACACAAAGAACCAGTGCAGAGATTACTATAGGGGTGCTCTCCTTTAACATCATTGACATAAACTTCTAGTTACAGGCAGTCCCCGGGTTACATGGATCCGACTTACATCGGATCCCTACTTACAAACGGGGTGAGGCAACCCCGCACTAGCTGCTTCCCCCCAGCAGACCAGGGAGACGCAAAGCTAGCACCCACCCTCAGCAGACCAGGGAGACGCGGAGCGGCTTTTCTCAGCCGACACCTCAGCTTGAGAATAAAGGACTGAGGGAAGTGAGGTGTGGGAGAATAAAACTGAGCTCTGGAGAAATGTTTGGCTAGAGTTTCCCCTACAATATGTACCAGTTCCAACTTACATACAAATTCAACTTAAGAACAAACCTACAGTCCCTATCTTGTATATAATCTGGGGACTGCCTGTACCTGAAAACTGCTCTCATGTCCCCCCTCAATCTTCTCTTTTCTAAACTAAACAAACCCAGTTCTTTCAGCCTTCCTTCATAGGCCATGTTCTGTAGACCTTTAATCATTCTTGTTGCTCTTCTCCTCTCCAATTTCTCCTCATCCTTCTTGAAATGCGATGCCCACAGCCTGGGTCTGGATGCATCTACACAGCACCCTTACCTTGAAATAGCTTATTTTGAAATTTGGCGCTGTCTACACGTGCCAAATTTTGAAATAAGGCACTCTTCCAAAACGTCCCTTAACCCTCGTGCAATGAGGTCTACAGGGACATCAGAATAGCGAACCCGTTATATTTTAATATAATGGGCTTGCTCTTAAGACACAGAATAGCTATTTCGGGATGCCAGAGGGATACTCCACAGTGTAGACATAGCCTATGTCTCCTGGAGCTCGAAGTGTAGATGTCCCTGTTGTGTTTCTCTCAGCTTCCACAGCATCACGGGCCCAGACACGTGTGGCCTGAACTCAGCCTCACAAAGGGGTCGGAGGCCTGGCTGATTTGCTGCAGGCCCAGGGTGTTTCACCGAAGTGACAGCCAGACCCCGTCCAGTGCAGCTGTGCCACTCGCCCTTTCCCGACAGCTGCACTGTGAGCAGCAATCCTACGGGGTTTTCTGCAGCCAGCTCTCTGCCAAGCCTGGCACAGTTGCCGGGTTCCCTGGCCCCCCGCTGTGTGAAGACGCCGTCCCCATGAGGCGTGCAGAGTGGCTATTTTGCCAGCTCGCTGCACACGCTCCAGCTGCCGCCAGCCAGAGAGGAAGGGAGTCACCCTGCGCTGGTGTCAATTCTTAAAAAAAGTAGCTGCAAGGTGAGCTAATTGGTGCCACATGGCAGGCAGCATCCATCAACATGGCTCCCGTGAGTAGGCAGGGCGCTGGGTCAGACCCAGTGATTTCTCAGAGGCCATGGTTTGGAAAATAAACCAGCATCTTCATGCAAGAGACCAGAGAGGCTGGTCCCTTCCCTTGCACCCCCCCTCAGCCCCACGGGCGGCATGGCCAGGGATGCTCTTGTCTCATGGGCAAATATCCGCAACTTTTAATGGCTGGTGGGGGAAAGAAAGAGACCTGAGGTGTGGATGGGAACCCGGTGTGGCGAGAGGTGCTGGACAACCCTGCCATGCACTGAATAGTCACAGAACGGAGATGGGGCTTCATTCCCCAGAGCCGGTTTCACCTCTGGCCTCTGGGTAGATTTCCAGCAAGAACTGGTGTTCAGCTGTGATGGTGGCGCTCGAACGAGACCCACCAGGCTTGTTTCATTTGGCAACAACTCTCCTGCGCTTGAAGCAGCTGCAGACTTCATAGAATCACAGAATCCCAGGGCTGGAAGAGACCTCAGGAATCATCGAGTGCAGCCCCCTGCCCAAAGTAGGGCCAACCCCAACTCCATCATCCCAGCCAGGGCTTTAAATCAAGCCGGGACTTAAAAACCTCTTGGGGATGGAGATTCCACCACCTCCCGAGGGAACCCATCCCAGTGCTTCCCCACCCCCCTAGGAAATAGTTTTTCCTAATATCCAACCTAGACCTCTCCCACTGCAACTTGAGCCCATTGCTGCTTGTTCTGCCATTTGCCACCACTGAGAAGAGCCTCTCTCCATCCTCTTCAGAACCATGCAGTTAATGTGCACTCAGCAACTCCAGGGCTGTGTCTAGACTGGCCAAGTTTTCCGGCAAATCAGCCGCTTTTCCGGAAAAACTTGCCAGCTGTCTACACTGGCCGCTTGAATTGCCGCAAAAGCACTGACGATCTCATGTAAGATTGTCAGTGTTCTTGCGGAAATACTATGCTGCTCCCGTTCGGGCAAAAGTCCTTTTGCGCA